CACTGTCTAAATATGATTCGAAGTGCTGGCCTCTGCTCCTTTTGCTTCTGCGTCAAGTTGTTTGGCTGCCTGAGATCATATGAGACTCATGAATGAGACATTCCCAACTGAACGCACAGGATCGTTTAGTTGCTGATATATGATCAAGCAGCCCGGCCATGAACTTCTTCTTCTCGACGTTGTAAATCGTGTCTTGCCGTTTTTTTTGGCAGGATTCTTCCTTAGGCTTGTCTGGCTTGGGTTGCTTGGCTGTGTCGGCTGGCTTTGGCTTTGGTGCATGTTTGCTGCTTGCCAGCTTGGCTTGCTTGTTGGCTGCGACCAGCAGCCGCTGTCGATGCGGATTGACTGGTGAGTGTTTGCCGCCCAGGCAGGCCATGTATGTGTCAGCTATATGGGGCTGCAGATTTTCCTGGCTGACCCATCTGGAATCCAGCTCGAACTCCTTAGGATTCTACGACTCGAGCCTCGGAAACATCGAAAACTCCTTACCCCCCACGTCCCGGAAACACAAAAGCATCTGCAGCGAAGCTTCTGCAGGACCTTCGGTGGAGCGCTCTCGTTCCGTGCCCTGCGACGGAAAAGGGAAGGCTAGAGCCGCGCTTGACCTAGACATGCTCCAATTACCTGAAACAACAAAAGCCCCGGTGCCCTATCCAACCCAGACCCAGATCACAAGCTCCATTCCTTGCCCTATACAAAACAACAGAGGGTTTAGGTTTTAGAGCTTGTAGGGCTTTATAAGGGTATAGTGTTTAGGGTTGCATGGTGAGGGTTCAGGGTTCACAAGGTCTTGGCAAACATCAAGGGTCAGGACCCCCCTATAAAAAGGGCCCGAAACAGCTCAGCCTTGCCTTGGCGGCGGGCGTTGCTTCGGCTGCGGGCTGGCTCTTGGCGTTCTTGGGCCTGACATGGGCGCATCTATTTTTTCACAGATATACAGATCGGTCAAAAATGCAGAAGGTCCTGGGCAGGGGCAGGGTCGGGCGTTTGGTCGCAGGCGTTGAGGTCGCTGAAACCTGCGACCAGAATTCATAAAGTACAGAAAGAAAACATTGGTGCAGTTGGCTGCCTGGCTGCTGCACGCCGACTTATCCAGCATTTGCTGGCACAGCTTCAGCATATCTGGGCCATACTCTGCGCTTCTTAGCTTCTCCATGATCTCCTGGCAGCCACATGCCAGTACTGTCTCTCCATTATATATACGCAAATGCAAACGGCCCAGCGCGGTCCTTGATCTCATCATCGGGTGGGTGCGACGTTGTAGGGTCTCGGTCGGCGATGGCAGCGCGAACCTTTTGTTTTTACATGTAGCAATGCCAGATTGTCGAGTGCTCGCGTGGGTTTAGGGTTTAGGGTTTAGGGTTTAGGGTTTAGGGTTTAGGGTTTGGGGTTTAGGGGTTTAGGGGTTTAGGGGTTAAGGGGATTTAGGGTTTAGGGTTTAGGGTTTAGGGTTTAGGGTTTAGGGTTTAGGGTTTAGGGTTTAGGGTTTAGGGTTTAGGGTTAGGGTTTCCCACCCCCACACACCCCCACACACACCCCCGCACACCCCCACACACCCACACACCCCCACACCCCCACACCCCCACACCCCCACACCCCCACACCCCCACACCCCCCCACCCCCACACCCCCACACCCCCACACCCCCACACCCCCACACCCCACACCCCCCCACCCCACACCCCACACCCCACACCCCCCCCCCACACCCCCACACCCCACACCCCACACCCCACACCCCCACCCACAACCCCCACCCACACCCACACCCCCACACACCCAGACCCCACCCCACACCCCCACACACAGACACCCCCACACACAGACACACCAACAACACTGACACAGAGACAGACAGACACACAGACACACAGACACACTGACACACTGACACGCCGACACACTTACGCACTGACACACTGACACTGACGCACGCACGCACGCACGCACGCACGCACCCACCCACCCACCCACCCACACACACACACACACACGAGCGCAAACACTGACACACTGACACAATGACACCCACACTGCAGACAGACCTCCCTGCACAAAGACAAACGATTAATGAGCCGAGCCACATTCTTGCTTTCTTCCTTGTCCTCAGTCACGCCTTTGGGGGGGGCCTGCGGCTCTTCCTCAACCATGCCTTTTGCAGGGGCCTGTTGCTCTTGCTCCTGGCCTTCGGGCCCCTTCCAGCCATCCCAGCCATCCCAGCTCTCAGACCACTGGCCCTTCTCCTGCTCATCTTCTTGCATGGCGTCCTTGCCATCTTCCGCCTGCTCGTCGTCCTCCTGGTGGCCATCGTGGCCCTCATGGCCCTCGTGGCCATCCCCTGGCTCACTCTTCCAACGCTGAGGGCCAGCCCCCGGTTGCTCCTCGAAAGCTGACGCAGGCCATTCGCAATCCGAAAAAGCCACGGGTGACGGAGTCGGATCCGACACCGACACTACCTCGTCCTCACCGATCGTCAGGCCAGTGCCAGCACCATCCTCCCACGCTTCGGCAGCATCTTGCACAGGCCACACCTGTCGTTTAAAAAAACAAAACGGCCCAAAACACGCTCACATCGAAGCCTGCCCGTGCAACAATCAAAACAGCCTTGATGCCAGGCACAGCTTGATCGGGAGACTCCTGAGTCATTGACAGCGTTTGTTATATATGCAGCAAAATCTAAAGAACACAAAACATCTTCGCTGTTCATGCAATCCAAAAGTAACCCGAGCAAGCATCTCGTCCAGGCACAGGATGAAGCAGGCCATCAGGGCCAGGAGCGGCATGCCCATGATAGTCCCAATCTGTTTCCTCACTTGCAACGAACTCTTCCCAATTCGCAACGTGTTAGGTTGTGCATGAATGATCACGTCCTGCCATTCGTCACCACAGCAGAAGCACGCATGCAGCGGAAACCACAATGTGCAGGCCGGGTTGCTTCGGCAGGCCAAGCTCCAACTCCTAAGCGGCGCATAAGAAACAGAAAGCATACAAGAGCGTGTGTCGCCAACCTATCATGAGCCGAGAAACCTTCTCCGTCAGGAGAGCCGAGCAAGCCCTCATCAGCCCAGGTTTTCCAATCCTGGCCATTGACTTCCTCCTGGGTAACGGGGTCCCTCGACTTGGCCTTGCCGAAAAGTTGTGCTATGCCCTCCGCAGTGACAAGCCCCCATCGCTGGATCTTGTGGCTCTCACCACAGTCCTTCGCCTTCGACGTCTTCGCATCTGCATGCTCCGAAACAGCCTGGGCTCAGATTTTGTACCTATGTCGCAACTATCAAAAGGGCTTATGATGGGGCCTTGGACCACCAATCGGCTTCAGCATCCTGACGCTCACGTGTAGCATCCATGTCCCCAGCGGAAAAAAGGGGTTGCAGAAAACACCCAATCTGAAAACCGAGCTCTTTCACAGTGTCCTTGTGCGCGGTGGCGTCGTTAGCATCGTCCCAGGCTTGATCATCCCAGCTCTCCTATACAACAAGAAAAGGCCAAAACACAACCAGCGATTCGCAGCTGTCCTTTTGCACGACGGCTTGGTGAGGAGCACCATCCCATTCCGAGGCTGCATCCGGGTTCTCCTACACAATAACAAAGAAGACAAAAGACCAAACTCAATCAGAAAAGCAAGCGCTTTCAAACCTGTCCTCTTGTGCCACTGCTTGGCTAGGAGCACCATCAATTTCCGAGGCTGCATGCGGGTTCTCCTATACAATGAAAAAAAAGAGGAGGAAGAAGACCAAACTCAAGCAGGGTCTTTCACAGCTGTCCTCTTCCGCGACGGCCTGGTTGCCAGCATCCCCACTTTCCCAGGCTGCCTACATTGCAATGCAAAAGGTGACGACAAATGAGCAAAATCAATCTCAAAACCAGCGATTCACAGCTGTCCTGGTGAGTGGTGGCTTGGGCCCAGTTCCCAGCTGCATCCCACTTCCCTGCTGCACTGTGCTCCTGCGAAAGAGCCCAGCATGAGCAGCCACACAACCCCCATTATATAGACCCTTATCCCAAACCCAAACCCGAAACCGCCTAAACCTTATACATACATCCTAAACCCTAAACCCTGAACTCGTATAAAACCGAATAGCAACCCTACCCGCGACCCTAAACCCCAAACCTTAATATAAATCACCCTAAACCCTATAAACCTATCACTTGCGCAGCCTGCTGTGCATCGCCCCAGTGAGCAGGGTCCTCCTGCCAAGCGGTCAGTCATGCCAGGGTTCCTCACTGCTATTAACAGCGGCAAATTTGGTAGCCTCGTTTCCAGAGCTGCCTATCCAAGGTCCGCCATCTTGCTGGCCATCATTCCGTGCATTCTGGGGTGCCTTGCAAATGCTTCGATCTGTATATAAGACCACAAAACAGTATCAACATCGCGCATGCACGGTCCTTGCCGTCCGTAGTCCAATCCCCCCATGTATCATCACCGCCATCGTCATCATCATCAGCGCCCGCTTCTTCGAGTTCCTGAGCTGGCAGCGCTTCAATGTTGGAATCGTGACCTTGACCCTATGCTCGCGCATCGCTATGTCGATGTTGCACCGCAGTCCCAAGAGTCCTTCTCACAAGGTTCTTCAGCTGCAGCCTATAGGGGTGGAAGACACCACGAGTTGACAGTTCGGAAGAGTAGAATAAATGACTATACATGGCCCGCGGCACTGCAACCAAGACACCATGGGAACGTCCTCCTTGCTTGGGGCACACGACCTGAGGGCCCAATTCTGCGCAAAGAAGGCAAGCCAGAAACACCCACAAAACCCACAGCACAATTTTGAATAATTATAGCTGGCCACGTCTTGCTTCGAAGACGCTTGCACGGTTGAACCGCTTCAGCATCCATGGCCTGAAGCATGAAGGTGTCACACATGCATGGAGCGAGCGAAATCACTTGCAATAAACGGCCAAAACTCCAAACAACAAAGCAAAGGTGCACTGCTCGAGGTTGTACGCTTGCGCTTCCAAACTTGGGAATCCTGCAGGCGTTGTTTGCAAAACTGCTGCCACTAGATGTATACATGCATGCTGCGTGTCGGACGAACGCATGGGTCGGCCTCGTCCGGATCCAAAGCCTCCAAGCAACTCCAGGGCTGCGTTTCAGCATCGGCAGCCATGGCGGTGGAACGCCGAGCTTTCTTAATCAGGCTGTGGAGACGCTTACCTTCTTCATTGGTCCAAGCTTCCTTCTGGAAGCCAGGTGTACAGGGGAGGTCAAGACTGTAGGGCGCCTCCAACAGCTTCCTAAGGCATGCTTTCACAAACTTCTCTGTAAACAGGCGCTCGTGCCCCTCGTAATCGAAATCTCTCACGAACGCCAGTGCTTCGCGTGTTTGGCGGTGCCGCAGAGACGCAGTCGGTAGCAAAGACCCTGTTTGTTTGATTCTTGCCTGGTCAGGAATCACAAGGTTGCGGTAGAGGAGCTCTGTCAGCTGGACCCCTTTCTCGTCTCTTGTTCTTACCAT